TATGTTGGAATTTCTGGTTCAGCTCTCAAGTGGTTCACTGCCTATTTGACCAACAGAACTTTCTCTGTCACGCTGGATAATCTGTCTTACTCCACTGCCCCTCTCTCTTGTGGTGTGCCACAGGGTTCTATCCTTGGTCCTGTCCTCATCTCATTGTACATGCTGCCCCTTGGATCAGTGATAGCCAAACATAATTTTTCTTTTCACTGCTATGCTGATGATGTACAAATTTATTTACCAATGAAACCTAAAAACAGTAACCTTCTCACACCTTTTGCTGATTGTATTGCCGACATTAAACAGTGGCTCCATCGTAATTTTTTGTTTTTAAATGAAGGAAAGACAGAATGCATCTTCTTTGGTGATTATGCGCCCTGTAACTTTGGTGCTCTGACATCCAAGTTCAGATCCACAGTTAAAAACTTGGGGGTGACATTTGATAAGGACTTAAAGTTTGATAAACAAATATCCTCCGGAGTAAAGGCCTGTTTTTATCAGTTACGTCTTTTATCCAAAGTTAAGCCTTTTTTAAATCGTTCTGACTTGGAAAAGGCCATCCATGCTTTTATAACTTCAAGGCTCGACTACTGCAATTCCCTATATATCTCCCAATCCTCCATTAGACGCCTGCAATTGGTCCAAAACGCTGCAGCTCGACTTTTAACCAACACCTCCAGACATGAGCACATTACCCCTGTTTTATTTTCTCTCCACTGGCTTCCAGTCGATTTTCGAATTAAATTTAAAATTTTATTATTCACTTTTAAAGCTCTCAATGGTCTTGCCCCACTATATTTTTGACTAATCTTGTAGCTGTCCGTGAATATAGGAGAACACTGAGATCATCTAATACATTTCTACTCTCTGTCCCAAAATCCAACTACAAACGATGGGGTGACCGGGCCTTTTCGGTTGTCGCACCCAGACTCTGGAACCACCTACCTCAGGACTTGCGCTCCATCACTGACATGGAGCATTTTAAATCTAATCTTAAAACCTTTTTATTCAGGCAGGCTTTTAATACCTAGTAGGTCTTTGACAATCTTGACATGTTTTAATTGTTTTTGTTTTTAACTGACCGATATTTTATTCTTGTTTGTTTTTAACTTCTGTATTGTGCAGCACTTTGTGCACCTTTTGGCTGCTGGAAAGGGCTCTATAAATAAAGTTTGACTGATTGATTGAACCTCATCTGGAGCAACAACACCACCAGCCTGATCAAGAAAGCTCATCAGAGACTCTGCTTCCTCAGACGGCTGAGATGAGCTGGTCTGGGAAGCTCAGTCCTCACCTCCTACAGGTGTGCAGTGGAGAGCATCCTGTGCTCCAGCATCAATGTGTGGCATGGAGGCTGCACAGCTGCAGAAAGAAAAGCTTTGCAGAGAGTGGTGAAGGCTGCACAGAAGTCTGTTGGAGTCAGTCTCCCCACCATCACAGACATCTACACCTCCAGAAGTAGGAAGAGAGCCACCTGCATCATGAAGGACCCCACTCACCCAGCACACACACTTTTTGCCCCGCTCCTCTCAGGAAGAAGGTTAAGGAGCATTAAGTGTAGAACCACTAGACTGAGGAACAGCTTCTACCCTGAGGCTGTTAGACTCATGAATCTCTAACCAGAATAATCACAATAATTAGTGTATATTTAGTTGATGTTTTTCTTAATTCATATCTTAGATGTTATCATTGTTTTTCTTTTACATTTTATTGTTGGATGTAACTGGGACCCTGTGTACATAATTTTGCTCCACCACATGTACCACATGAAGTGCAAATGACAATAAAGAATCTCTGACTCTGACTAGTATAGACTTTTTTTACGCGTGCACACACATGCACGCGCGCGCACACACACACATCTACACACATCATTGTGTCCCCACATTACGGCTTCTGACGCCCTTGCTTTAAAACATGCTTGTCGTCCAAATAACTGATTGGATTCACTGGGTTTCATGGACAAATAAGTATCATCAGCATAACAATGAAAAGTTATCCCATGCTGTTTAATAGCATTACCTAAAGAAAGCAAATATAAAGTAAAAAAATGTTGGTCCAAGCACAGAACCCTGATGAACTTCATGGCTAACTTTGGTGTATGAAGAAGATTCATTATTTATATTTACAAACTGGAATCTATCAAATACTGTATGTATGATTTACACCATTTTAGAGCCATTCCTGTAATCCCACTATCATATTCAAGTCTCTGTAATAGAATATTGTGATCAACTTTATCAAATACAGCACTGAGGTCCAACAGGACCAGTATGGTAAATGGACTGTACTTATATAGCGCCTTTATATCTTATCCAGATACTCAAAGCGCTTTACACTACAATCTGTCCCATTTACCAGTTCATACATCACTCTACTAGATCTCTACAAAGCTAATTGAACAAAACATTCTAAAGAGACTAATCAGAGCTTTATCACATTCATACACCGATGGGACACACATCGGAGGCAACGAGGGGTTCAGTGTCTTGCCCAGGGACACTTTGGCATGTGACTGCTGGTGGATTTGAACCCCCAACTCTTGCATTGGACGACGACTGCTCTATCCACTCAGCCACAGCTGCCCAGTATAGACACATGGTCAGAGGCCATGAGAATATCATTAATGACTTTCACTAGTGCTGTTTCTGTGCTATGATGAGCTTTAAAACCCTGACTGAAACTTATTAGTGTTTAGCTTATATCTTAGATCTTTTAACGTTTGGTGTTCATTCAGCGTATATCTTAGTGTATGTCTTAGTTTCTATCTTGGATTCTTATTTAGCGTTTCTTTTGACACTTTATATTTTTACTATTGTTGAGTGTAACTGGGACCCTGTGTACATAATTTTGCTCCACCTCGTGCACCACATGTGGTGAAATGACAATAAACCTACTTGAACTTGAACTTGAGATATCACTTGTCACAATAGGTCTTTGTTGACTCACAGGCTCACAGTGGAGCCACTCTGGTGACTTATACAGTAGATGTAAATTCCTGATAGGTGTGAATATGAGGTTTGGTATTCTCCAGGAAATTAACTGGTTTAGAGTAGCATGGTATGAAGTTGTCTTCTCATTAAAAACCTGGAGACAGATGTCCAGCTTAGGGTGATTTATTTGTTGTGTTTCTTCTGGTATTTACACACAGCAGTGAACCAGAAAAAGTGCAAACAGAAGCCAGGGCCAGGACTGCGTACACGCCATAATAGTTCCATGCATTCTTGTAGTGGTGGGATGTAGCCAAGTACAAAAACTTGGTTACTGTACTTAAGTACATTTTTCATGTATATGTAATTTACTTAAGTAGAGTTAAATGTGGATACCTTCTACTTTTACTCCACTACATTTTACATTAAGTATCTGTACTTTCTACTGCACTACATTTCTATAATGCGTTGAGTTACAAGTTACAGTCACGTTGCGTTTTTTTTTTATTTGTTTGTTAGTTTGAAAGTAACCAGTGGTGAGAGAGGAGTTGGTCGTTAGACCTGCCTTCAAGAAGAGCTGGGCCAATGATATATATTCTAGTACGTCATTGAGCTGGGTGCACTTGCAGCACCACTAACACACCCAAAATGGATTAAACCGCTGAGTCAGACAGAAGATACGTGTCACCCATGGCCTTAATGAAAGATGATTGAAAGACTATTGAAAGACTATTGAAAGATTATTGAAAGACTATTGAAAGATTATTGAAAGATTATTGAAAGACTTCATTACAGCAGGACAGATTCTCTCTCCCAAACTAGCCAGACTGGACTCAAAAAACTTTGAAAATCAACTTCTTCTGAACTTGAACAAGAAATTCTTGCTGCAATATTAAAATGTGTCAGTTCATGGGATGTTAGGAGACAAGAGATGTCTCCAAATGTCTCGACACTCTGGTCCAAGTTTTGAAGATGGTGCCAGAAAGTTAAAATATTGATCACTATTGACCCATTACAAGGTTGACTAGACAGTATTTTAACTAAAGTTGATGACAAAGTGTCTTTTCTTTTGTCAGGTGAGTTTAATGCTCCTTTTTTCAGGCAGACAACTTTTACTTAAATGTGTTTACTGCAGTTAAAATGACACATTTATTTTGCTTTGCTTTAAATAAAAACTTTCAAAGGTATAATCATTCCTCTTTCTTATTTTGCTTAATGACATTTAACTCTGCATGTCATCCCTGAAATTTTGACACACAGAATCACAAGTCCAAGTTGAACTGTGTCACAGAGTAAACACAATAAAAACATGCATTATCTGCAGCATTGTTCATTAAAATGACTCAACACTATCAATGTAGTACAGAAAATATACATGTGGTAGCCAAAAAAGTCCATGCTCAATAATCCAGGTATACAATCCAACAATTTTCCGTCAGGTCATCTGGACAGTTTCTTTTTTTTGCTAAAACGTTTCACCTTCTGGTAGGTACACTTAATGATACTGTAGACCAAATGTGTCAAACTCAAGGCCCGGGGGCCAAATGTGGCCCTCATTGTCATCTTATCTGGCCCCCAAGATGTTATTTTAAATGTAAAATACTTTTTTCACTTTAATTTTTTCAGTAATCTTTGATTATGGTGTCAAAAGTGCAACAGAGAACATCAAATGAGACCAATCAAACTCTTACTGAGGAATCTGCAACTAAGAAAAGATGTTGGGTAACTAACTTGAGTTAATGTAGATTCTGAAACCAGCCCTTAGTTTGAAAAAGGTTTTAATTTTGGCCCCCATTTGTAAGTGAGTTTGATACCCCTGCTATAGACCATTGCATTAGGTAATACATTCAGCAAGTATTTTTACTTAATACTTTAATTATTTTTAAAAGCAAGTACTTATTTACTTGTACTTAAGTAAAAATGTTGTTTGTTTATTTTAAATGAATTAATAAATGAATAAATAAAAACAATGACTGAAGTTTGAATCTAACCAGGCTTTTTTAACTGCCTTTGGGGGGGGGGGGGGGGGGGGGCAGTAGCCAGAGTTTTTTGTAAAGTGCCTACCATACTCACATAGTTGCTGTGCAGATCCAACACAGTGATTTTGATGAAATCTTCAATGAAATCCGGAATCATTCTGATCAGGTTCCGGCTCAAGTCCACTTCATCCAAGTCAGAAAGTTTCTGAATGCTCTTTGGAACTGTAAGTATGCCTTTCAAGCTGAGATCCAGCCTACTTTTCCCATCCAATGTTATCTTCACACAGTTCTGGACCAACTTCAGAGGGAGGGGTTTCTTTTTTTTGTTGGTGTTTTTCTTACCATAGACCATTTTGCTGCAGAAGACAAGTATAATAAGGACAGAGACACAAAGCACAAGTCAGTAACATAAGTAAAAAACAAACAAAAAAAAAAGGTCAATACCACAAGAAAAGGAAAAAAAAAAAATCTGCATCACAAGGGGAAAAAAGTTATGTATCACCAAAAAAGTAAACAAACAAATCAGTAACAAAAGGAATGAAAAAAAAAAAAACCCATCAGTTACACAAGGAATAAAGAATACAAAAGTCAGTAAGGCAAGGAGAAAAAACAAAAGTAAGTCAATAATAAAGGACTGGAGAAAAAAACTGGTCAGTAACACAGAATGAATAAAATAGGTCAGTAACACAAGGAACAAAATAAGGAAGTCAGTAACACACGAAACGAAAAAATAAAACAAACGTCACTGAAACAAAGAATGACAAACAAAAAAACAAAGGCCAGTAAGGCAAGGAATGAAAAACATCTAACCTAAGGTCAGTAAAACTAGGAATTACAAAAAGGTCAGTAACACAAGTAACAAAAAATGTTACACAAAGAACAATATAAACAAGAACCCTTAACACAATGAGCAAAAATAAAACAATGGTTGCTAACACAAATAACAGAAAACAACAAAGGTCAGTACTACAAGGAAATCAAAAATAACAAGGAGAGTAACACAAAGAAAGGAAAAAAAACACTAAGGTCAATAACATGAAGAACAAAAAAGTCATGATAACACAAGAAATCAAAGAAAAAATTAAAGGTCAAGGAACAAAAAAAGTAAAACAAATGTCAGTAAAACAAAGAATGAAAAAACCAAAAGTCATTAAGATAGAAAGATAAGGCATAAAAAAATGTCAGTAACAAAAGTAACAAAAAAGTTACACAATGAATGAAATAAACAAGGGTCAGTAACACAAGGAGCAAACATAATAATAATAAAATAAATAATAATGCTGACACAAGGAATGGAAAATAATCTAAGGTAAGTAAGTCAAATAAAAAAATAACTAAAGTCATTTCCACAATTAATGGAAAAAAAAACAAAGTTCAGCAACATGCAAAAAAAAAAAAAATAAATAAATAAACCCTACCAAGTTCATTAACATAAGGAATGAAAAAAGTAAAACAAAGGTCAGTAAAATAAACAAAAAATATACATAAATAAAAAACTCCAAACCCAAAGGTCTGTAAGACAAAGAACGAAAAAATTAAGGTCAGTAACACAAGGAATTAAAAAAGTTCAGTACAAGTAACAAAAAATTAACACAATGAACGAAATAAAAAAGTGTCTGTAACTTGAGTAAAAATTTAACAATGATTGCTAACACAAGAAACAGGAAAAAAAAATAAGGTCAGTAACACACACAAAAAAGAAAAAAAAATCAGTAACAGAACAAAAAAGTGCATAACACAAATACTGAAACTAAAACAAAGGTCAGCAACAAAAGAAAAGAAAAAAAACAAAGAGTGGTAAGACAAAAAACAAACAAACAAACAAATAAAAAAACAAGACCAGTAACACAAGGAAAAAAATAGTTTTTTTTAAAGTACGCAACTCAAAGAACTGAGAAAACAGGTCAGTGACAACAGGAACAGAAAAGAACAAAATTTGTAACACAGGAAATAAAAAAAACAAAAATCAGTAACACAAGGAAAATACAAAGGTCAATAACAAAAGGAACAGGGACAAAACAAAGTTAAGTAACAGAAGAAAAACAAATAAACACAAAGGTCAGTAATACAAGGAACACAAAAATAACTGGTTACACAAGGAACTGATAAAACAAAGGTTATGTCACAAATCTGGTTGTCTTGTCTTTTTTTTTTCACTCACCCTCGAGCAAGACAGTTGTTTTTATTAGTGTATTGTTCATATATGTTTATATATTTTTCTCTTTAATTTACTCATTGATTGTTGTGTTGTTAAGCACTTTGATAACAGGTTCTGTTTTAAATGTGCTCTGTAAATAAAGTTGACTTGACTTTTTCTTCTCTCTCCTGCCTTCCTCCTGCTCTTTTGCTAGGTCCTCTGTATCGAAGCTTCTATTTATACTTCTTCTAAATCGTAAATTACTGTTATGTATTTGGTCAGCTGGACTTTCAACCAAGGGCGTCAGAAGCATCCGTAAAGTGTGGGGGACACAATGATGTGCCTAGGTGGGTGGGTGTGCGCGCGCGCGTGTGTGTGCACGTATGTGCGTGTGTAAAAAGTGTACACTAACATACAAAAAAGCAACATTTCACCTAGATTACCTTTAATTCCACACATTTAAAGCATGTTTCTCACCAAGTTTGTGTAAATTCAGCTGTGGGTTTTAAAGACATTTCAACTAACACACAGCATCAGGTCGGCACTATTTGTGTTTATAGAGAAATAAAAATCATCACCACTAGACTTTTTTACTTGTGTTCAACATTAATCATCTAAATGATGTTTCTCACAAAGCTTGAGGACAATAAGGTGTGGGGTTTTAAAGACATTTCAACTTTAATGCACCTTAATACACAGCGTCTCTTAAACCTGCAGCGTCTTACAGCGTCACAGTTACTGCTAAGCTAACATGCTACAGATGTAGTGCTCCTCTTCTCTCAAGCATCCTCCTAACCATCTATATATGTTTATGATCACCCCCCCCCCCCCCAGTCAACCACTACCCGAACTAAGCTCGCTAAGCTGGTGAGCGAGTAACACAGAGGTGTCTCCATCTCCTCCACCTGTGCACGTTTTCTGCCGAGGCAGGAGGAGACGTAGAGGAGAAACAATGAGGCAGCAATGCTGTTTAGAGTTGGAGGTAACCAAGAAAACCTGGAGTGGAGTTTTAGTGGCTTAAGTATGGAATGAATTTGTTCACGAAGAAAGAGAAACTGCACCAAACTAATGTTTCATAGTAAAGGTGGTGGTGGTGTGTGTGTGGGGTTTTTTTTTTTCCAAATGTAAGTTTTTTTAATGTGGGGGGGAGGACATGTCCCCTTCACATATAATGGTATAATGGACGCCTATGCTTTCAATGCAATTGATAAAAAATTTTCAACCAAGAAACAGGGTGCTGAAGAACCCTCATGCCCCGCTGAGACGCATGCAGCTGGGTACGTCATTGATCCGTGGGGAGAGAGGAAAATGCTGGCCTTTCTGTGTTGTCTCAGGAGGATGTTTAAAATTTACACATCATTGGATTTATGATAGAAGGGTTTCTGCTTTTTGGCACTGTTGGATACCTATGTTATCGGCTATTAAGAAAGACGGCGGCAGCAGTTTCGGCCATGGCAAAGCTGCTTACCTTATGTGAAGAATTAATTTGTGCTTTGAGCTCTCAGACTCAGCTGATTTATGAGCTCAACCGTAAAATGGAAGCGATTTATGAGAATAGTAGGCCACTTTCAGCTTATGGAACTCGACAGCATGTTGGAGTCGATCTTGGAGAAGTCTAATAAGCACAGACCAGCGGAAAGCCCACAAATCTGTCCATTTTGGATCATCGAAAGTACCAGCAGAACTCAAGTCAAAAAACAAAAAACACAGTCTGCCTGCACAAGAAACAACTGTGGCTTATCTGAATCTGGCCTCCTCATTCAGCCTTGAATAAGACAACTTATCAAATTGCTCCTGGGGATGTGTAAACTGAGAAGGCTCTGCTCTATCCACCCACACATACACCCGCCCGAGAACTTCTGTGAATGTTTATCAAAGCTGTACCGGCTGACACACTATCATCTTATCAAGGATAAAGGATGGAGGGCACAAAGATAAACCTAACACAAAAATACTAGGAACTTCCCTAGGCACATTCATAATGAGGACAAGAGTTTGGGTGGATGGCCATAGACCATCCAGACCAAGGGCAGAGTTTAGAGGAATGGCCTGGAAACCATCCAAGGCAAGTGAGAGGCATCTTCCCAGACTTTCTCTGAATCAAGCAAGTGAGAGATGTCCTCCTGGACCCTCTCCAAGATGGTGTAAACAATGGCACTGCTATGAGTAATGACACCACAGAGGAGGGTGCAACAGCCACAGACGGTGGACCAGATGGCTGTTGCAACAGATGATGATTAACCCACAGAAGATGTAGTGGCAAGCAATGGACCAGGAATGCAGGTCACAGCAGACGACAAGGAACCAGGGACCAGGGATGGAGAATGCAGCAGATGACAAGGAACCAGAGGTGAATGATACAGATGAAGGAATCACAGAGTGGGCTACAGCGGGGGAGTCAGACAAGGGGGCTGCTGCAGACAAATCAGATGAGGGGGCTGCAGTAAGTGTTGAGACCACAGAGGGTGCAGCAGGCATACAGACCACAGAGGCTGCAGCGGGCATAGAGACCAGCGGGCATAGAGACCACAGAGGCTACAGTGGGTGTAGAGACAACAGGGGCTGCAGTGGGCCTAGAGACCACAGAGGGTGCAGCAGGCATTGCAACCACTCCACAGAGGGTGCAGTTGACATTGAAACTATTGAGACCGCAGCAGGTGATAAGACCAGCAAGACCACAGCAGGCAATGACACTAGTGAGACTGCAACAGACAAACCAGGGGTAAATTGAAAGGTATCCTCCAGGACCTCCTCTAAGGCAGAGTGAGATGTGTCTTCCAGGATCCCCTTAGAGGCAGAGGAAGGAGGTGGGTCTTCACCCATGGAGGCACAGGAAGAGCAGGCCCCTGACAACTCTGGAGAGCGGGGTGCTGATGATTCAGGGGATTCAGCCCTGTCGGGCTGCATGGGAACCCTGGGAGGGTCAGCCTCAGCTTTACACCTCTTGACATAAGAAAGGATCTCCTGGTATGTGGGTATGAGGAGCATCTCAGGCTGGAACATCAAAGTCTTCATGATTTGATTAAAAATAAATCTCCTTGTTTCAGTCCCTGCCGATACACAAAGGGCTGTTATTAGACCATGAATGTATGGACAATTCACCTTGTCTTCCAGTGGTGGCAGATCAGGAGCCAGATCCTTGATCATAGAAGCTGGAAACATAGAGGACATGGATGTTGTCATGGTGAGCACTGGGGGTGAGTGAAGTGCTCAAG